ATGGCGTCACGTGATTCTGCAGACTCGCAATAAAACTACTGTGAATTTATGGTGTGCTTAAAATCGGGCAAGGTTCCCGTGATTAGCCGAACTTTATTTAGGTCTATCCATGCGCTGCTTCGCATGCTACCTATGGTTCCCAATAGAGGAAGATGGTGTACTTTTTTTATTTTAATTCAAAGCATCACTTGAATTTTTGCATAACTTAAGATAAAACCTGTATTTACAATAACAAAATGGCCGCCATGACAGGATGTGTGTCCCCCTTTGGAATTTTTTTTCTCGATTTACGCCACTGCCGTGACATTAGACTCCGTGGCAAGCCGAGACCCTGAAGCGCTTTGCACCTTTTAAAATGTGGCACATACTACAGTCCCAGCATGTGAGCTAGATTACTGAAATTAGTGGACATTATTTTTATAGAAATCACTAAAACTCGCTTGTGAAGACCTTACGGGTATATTTCGAAATTTAACAAGCTGTACCATCTTAAAGCTAATTATTCCACGCATTTCTGCTGTGTCTCATCACTTCTACCACGCCAAAGACAACGTGAACTTTGTGAAAAAATGTTTTGGCAGCCCTGTTGCATTTGTGGTGCGGTTCATGAAATTACCTCTGTGCAATGTGATGAGAAAAAAAAAATTGGTCCAAATCTACATGTTACACTGTAAATGTCGTCAAAAGACGGTAGTCTTGCGTCTGGAGAGAGTGAACAAAACGTTTATTTGATGTTCTGCGCAAGAAAATTGGTGAATGGTATTCTGAAGGCGCTGCGTTAGAGTGTCTCGAGTCTGTTACGGAGACGAACAAGTGCATCGAGGCACGTAAGACACGAGCGCCATCTGGCAGTTATCTTCGAAAACGAAGGCGTGCAGCCCGCGGAAAAAGATGCGCGCAAGTCTCGGAGGTGATAAGGTGTAGAACGCAAAGCGACGGGCAGGTGCCACCACCGTGACATCGTAGCAAAGCGTTGGAAACACCTTTTTGAGCATCGCGCTGCACTGTCAATGCAGCGCGATTAAACGCTACATTCCTCAGAGTTACTTGTGTGTGCCTCTTCTAGTATAAAGGCAGACATAGAAGACATCTAAGCGTTGTTGTGGCTCTTCAGATATGCGCAATAAATGCTTTTTAAATGACAATCGCACCACTATGAACGCTAAACCTTGAGCAATATTGGTGGGCGCTGCGGATGGGGTTGGCCGTTTGGTGCCATTTGAGGTATCGTTAGGGCAGACAAACAGGCAAATGTACAGACAGACCAAAATTTTTTCGTCGAAGGTCCTCAAGAAATCTTTAAAAATTTATGCGAATCCAACGCTACATTTTGTAAAGGTGTTCGCATGACATGCTTTCGGTTTGATGATGATGATGATGATGATCTCTGTGGTCTTCCCCTTTATACCGGGGGGGGGGGGGGGGGGCACCTTTCAGTGTCCTGACCGGAACGAGAAAAAAAAAGGAAAGAAAAATCACACCAGGTCCATGAACATCACAATTGTTCACTGTCTCCTTGACCACCACTGTAGAAGCCTTGCTTTGGTTATTGCTGTCGCTGCCAGGGGGTGCACGTTGGTATCGCGGCTGTCGCCTCCCGGTGCGCCGCAGTCTTTCACAAAGCCGAGTGCTTCCGGTAGTGTGGCGCCATCTGTCTGACGGGGACACAGGCATTCGCAGTGAAGCACCAGGTGTTCAATGTTCTCCTCGTCTTTCCCGCATGTCCTGCACTGCACAGTGCCGTCGGCCAATGACGGGTCGAAGTGACGGCGATACACCTGAGTACGGAGCGCTCCAGCACGGGCCTCAAACAGAAGCGCACTGCCGACATTATTGTCGTATAATCGTTCGGCGGAGATGGTGGTCTTGTGAGCTCTGTATAGGGCCAGGCTGGGTTTCTTCTCCATAGCTGCCTGTCACATCGACGTCTCAGCTTTCTCCACTCTATTCCGTACTCCTACTGCCCATTTCCTCTCACTGTCCTCCTGGACAGGGTCTGTAAAAAGGGAGTACTTGCGGCACAGATTGTGGAGACGCCTACGCCATGGTGTGTTCATGCCCTTGATAGCTGTGTATCTACATACACGGCGGGCCCACCGCTGGTCGTTCATGAGGCGAAGACGTCCTTCGTAGGCCGCCTTGCTCCTTGCCTCGCGTGCCTCGTAACTTGACCATCCGAGGTCGCCCTGTATAGCTTCGACAGCCACACGTCCATGACACGCCAGCGCCAGTCGCCCGACCTCACGTTGACCTCTTTCCAACCACTGGCGTGTTGCTGCAGACAGGCAGATGACGGCGTTGGCGAATGTCAGCACTGGCACATGTACTGCCTTCCACAGTTCGCGCACCAGTACAAACCGGTTGCACCCCCACAGACTCTGCCGTCGCAGCACGTTGGCGGCCCTCACAGAAGCCTGTCGAACGTGCTCCTCTTGCTTGTCATAGATATCTGCGGAGGTGCAAAGGTTGACACCGAGATACCGGTACTGGTTTGATACCGGAATGCTTCCTCCGTCGGGAAGCTGCACATCAATGGTCTCCACGCCTGAAAACTGCAATATGGCCGATTTTTTGGCATTGAAGTGAAGGCCCAGACTCTTCAGGTGGTCGGCTGCCAGTGTTACCATTCTCTGAAGGTCACTGCTGCACTCAGCCAGTAATACTAGATCATCCGCGAACACCAAGCCGGGCAGCGTCCATGTCTGCGCCACCCCACCAATCATGAGGCGGAACGCGAAGCCAACTCCCGATTCCACGAGTGCCTGCTCGAGTCCCGCCACATATAGCATGTATGTATAGCAACGGAGACAAAGGGCAGCCCTGCCTGAGTCCTCTTGTCACTCTCACAGGCTGTGTTCTGGTGCCTCTGAAGCATGCTACCACCGAGCTATCTGCATAGAGCCGCCGAAGAAAGTCTGTCCACACGCTCGGCATTTGTCGTTGGTCTAACTGGTGGAAAAACTCCTCGTGTGGCACACTATCATAAGCCTTGGCGACATCCAGAAAGCATCCAAGCAGACCTCTGGTTTCTCTCCGTGCCACCTCGATGGTCTGGGTGAGCACGAAAAGATTGTCTTCCAAGCGTCGGTTCCGTCGGAAGCCATTCTGGAGTTCCGACAGTATGCCCCTCTTCTCCGCCCAGCCGCTCATCCACACCTTCAAGACTTGAGCGAAGAGTCTATATAGGACGCTCGTCACCGTGATTGGTCTATAGTCGCCCAGCAGTCCAGCGTCGCCTCCTCTCTTGCACACGAGGCTTACTCTGCCGCATTGCCAGTCCGGTGGGATTGGGCCGTTCTTGAGGATGGTATTGAAAATTCCCGCGAGGTGTTCTCGAGCACACTTCCCCAAGCATTTCACAAGGCCCGCGGGTATGCCGTCCAGTCCGGTAGCAGTGCTTGCACTGATACGCGGGAGTGCACGCTCAAGAGCGATCCTCGTTATCTGCCAATGGTCTTCTTCACTTGGCTGGTGAGGCTCATCCGGGTCGCCGTTTACTGCTGAGGTCGATTCGACATGTGTGGGATTGAAGAGCTCTTGCATGTGGGTCGTGAGGTGCGCTGCGAGGTCGGTGACCGGTAGGTTGCTAGAGTGGTGTCGAATTTCAGGTGCCGGAGTTTGGCGATCTAACGAAGACACATATTTCCAAAATTTGTTTGCACCGTTACGCCCTGCCTCTGTGATAGCTCGCAATTGTTTGCTATTGTACTGAGCTATTTTGCTTTGTACGAGGATCCGCATCTCTCTTTTGAGGCGGAGGTATTCCTCCCAGGTACTCATGCACTCCTCTTCGGGTGATGTCCTAACAGCCGCTCTATGTAGGCGATTCGCCGTTCGTCTTGCAATAAGGGCCCGTTGTACTTCTTCGTCCCACCAGCCTTTGCGCCTTAGGCCGCCGCGGGAATTTACGCGAATTTCGTGCTTCTTCATGATGCGTCTCAGTTCGAGCACAAATTGATCATATGTTGGTGGTTCCGTCGGTTGAAAGTTCTGCTCGAATGCTTCCGCGACTGCCGCATACTCCGACTGCGGGAGGTGCCTCTCAGCTGGGTTGCGATGTTCCTTCGCAATGGTTCGCCAGGAGGATCGAGAAAAGCTCAACTTGATTCGGTTGTGGTCACTTCCTATGCTGAATTCACCCTTTTCATCGATGTTCATGTGGTGAGACGTCGTGCTAAAGCAGGTGTCGCAAGCACGTAATCAATACAGCTGCGACTGTTCCTGGTGCTCCAGGTGTACTGTCCTTCACATTCTGGACGAAGATTTAGCACATCTAAGGCGAGTGTACGTGCCAGTGCCAGTAGTAGTTCCCCATTGGTATCTTGAAAGCCATCCAGAGCTTGGAGGTGCCCATTGAAATCGCCCATAATGAGAACCTCTCGCTGGTTTGCCCATCTTGCCACGTCTTCCCTGATGCACTGCGCCATTCTTGAGTTTCCGGCATCAGCTCCAGCAGATACGGCAAAGTAGGCCACCCCTACCAGGACTGCCAGCCCTTGCAGGTAGCCCTCGACCCACATATGCTCAACACACGGGCTGTCCAGTTTCTTCCAAGCTGACCTAGTTTTCCACAGGAAACCTATTCCTCCCCCTTTCCTCGATTCACCTGAACGGTTCAAGCCAGCCCACTGCCAACTTTTATGTACTGGTGGCTCTTCCATGACTCGAAGGTGTGTTTCAGCCACGGCATATATATCTATATCTTCGTCACCCATCATCTGATATAGTTCTTCCCATTTGCTCGCCGTTCGAGCACCATGTAGGTTAAGGAAGCCTACATGTATGTCCTCGTTCTTCTTGCGGCTGCGGCGACGGCGGGTCGACTTTTTCTTTACGTCCTGTGCCAGGAGCGCTTCTGCCTCCTCTGTGGATTGGCCATTTGTAGGATTGCTGTAGGTTTCGGTTTTAAACGAGCGCCACCTGACGAACACTTCTGAAGTCCCAATGTGCCGATTTTCCAAACGCGGCGGATTCTGACAGTGGGAGGTCAACTGTGTGCCACGTTGACGTCATCTTTGTTGCTTTAGGTTGCTCGTTGCTCCGTGCTTGCCGTTGCAGGAAACGAGTGTTCTTGCTAAATCAGTGAAAAACGTCTGTGTCCGCGCAGATACGAAGGATTGCTTCCCCTGAGTGCTGACTCATCATTGAGAGGTATGTTTTCACTTGATATAATAGCATATAATAGCCTCTTAAGCTCTAGTTAGCCAGTTAAGCTCCCAGTCGAACGAGTGTCGTTTGCTGATCAGTAGTAACCGCCGATCATTTCGCATAACAACGCTGCAGCAGCTTCATCGATTTACACTTCCTAGAACAGTCGGTTTCTAAACGTGTTTTTGCGTCCAATATTGAAGCAGTTTTGTTAGTTTAACCTTGCGAAAAACGTTGCTATAGGCCGCCGATGCCGTGCGCTAATACTTGAAGGCTGTATTCTGTTCGCCATATTGAAGGGACTGTGTCTTATCTAGCAAAAACGGTCATTCTGTCTGGTTTGGCGCTTTTCGTTTAGCGCTGCCAACATAATATCTAAGGCGACACGTCCTGATAGCAGTAGTATTGCCTCTGCTGTGAACTGGGTCCCTTGTATCCGCTTAGAGGAGGTCGCACTTTCTCGATCTTTCCACGGAGTTTCATCAGTGGTTCCTGCTTTGAATCAAGGCTGCACCGTCTCACTGCAGGTAACTACGGTTATCATTTATCTTCTGTTTCATTTATCAGGTACTGATTTTTTTTTTCTGAGAGTCTGTCTTGCGCGGCGTGATGCTTTTTGAATCGCCGGTGGTACACCAACGCTCGTGTGGGGGTAGGGCAGGCACTAAACAGCCACTTCCTCGGCGTGTCATTGCTGATTGTTTCGCCAGCTGCTTTTATTTTTTACGTATACGCTGATATTTCCCATTGTCTGGCCGATGTAGCGGTAACGTCTCTAGAGCAAACGTGACAAAGCATAGTTTGTCCGACGCTGAGTTGGATTTCGGCGCATTCTTCATCACTCGCCTGCGGCGCGCGTTGCACCGATTGTTTTGCTTTCGCTTCTCTGGATTTACGTTTTGTGGACATGCCGTTGACGAACTGGGCGTGTGTATGACCGATCACGTCACATCATTCAGTGTGGACACGCGCGTATGACTCACTCAATTGTCAATCTCTCTCAATTTTTTTATGTTTTTTTGGTGGGCTTGGCATCGGTGTTCGTAACTCCCTTGCGCAACCTTGTCTCGCGTTTTGCGCATGAAGGGCACGTTCAGAATCACAATAAAAAAAAAAACCTATGCTAGATCGGCTAATACAAAGTAACTCTTTTTAGCATTTAAAGGGATAGAATAAGATCGTGTCTCGAAGTTTTATTGATCCAAGCACAGTCTGTGGGCGTTTTCTCGCTTCGCTCTTTTTCAAACTATTTATTTAGACATTCTCTGGTGCCAATGGAAGGGCTAAAAGCAAATTCAGCTGCCTGACCGACGTCCCCATACTTGTAAACATATAGAAACAAGAAAAAGAATTGTATGCGTTAGGAAGAGACTATAACTGTTGACCATGTTGATCTGCAATAACATCAGCAATGCAAACACACTCAACAGTGACCAATGTTGGGAAGCATTGACCAAGCTTGACACGATCTATGCATGGTTGCTTTTTTCATAGTATAATTATTGCTAAAGCTGCTGTGAACAATTTTGTTGGAAGTATGGTTTCTAGAGTTTTCTAGCAGTTATACTAATAGTACAGTGTTATCACAAATGTCCTGTGAATCAAATGTGAATTCCTCTTATATCTTTAAATGTACACATGCCGTCAAGAGTGCCTTACTCGTTAACCTTTGTGTGTTTTCCCCATGACTATGACACATTAAAACATTTAGACATTGCTATACTCTGTCGCTCTTTGCTTGAGGCGCATCAAAGAAGGGCATTTTTTTATAAATCGCATGTCTTATCAAGTTTCAGCTAGCAGATGTAGGTTTCTTTGAATACGTGATTCACGAATTGGAATCGTCTAATAAACTACTGTCTGTAGCTATTTGAGGGAATGTTAAGAGAGGTCACAATGTCTTGCTATGTGTAGATGAACGTTCTGCACTTATTACTGACATCACAGGCCACACATACTCTCACTTCATTTAAAATGCACTTCATTTTCATGTTCCTGGCTCTTTCAAGAGCGCACTTGTGGTATCCTTTGAATTGAAACACTTGTAGCATATAAGAAGTGTCTCGATATTTGCTAAGAAGTGTCTTGATATTTGCCAAGAAGTGTCTCGATATTTGCCAACTGTAACGGTATTAGAGCTCGCTATGACAGATGTGACTAAGCACTAGCCGATAGCCATGACCTTTGCTTTGACACCTGCCTGCTGTAGTTGTCACTGTGTTATTGCTTAGTGAATATTTTTTTTAATAGCCGTTCACTCTTCTTACTTTTGAGCCCTGTTGTTGTTCCTGCTGCCTTTGTGCATCCTCTGTTGGACAGTGATGTGATCTTTGGCAACTTCACGGGGATTTGGTGCATGGGGTATATAAGTATCCATCTTTTTCTCTGGATCCAAACGAGGGCTCTTTACAGCTCTAAAGTCTCGCAGCGACTTGCAGGAATCAATATTTAGATTTCAAAGAGACAAGTAATGATTACTTAAGTACTGTATATGACTAACAGGGGCATAGTTTGCTGTCAGTGTAGTTGAGAATTAACCGCATTACACTATACACACGGCTGTGGCTGTGATCGGCCCACCAGGGTCCCTGGCAAGAAAAATTGCCGTTTTTTGCCTCTAGAGTGCCATAGAAAGCCACCAACCAAGGAGTCGTAAAAGATGATGTCGACATAGTCATGTTTTTTTAAGCAAGTAAAAATAAAGGTTGAAATGAATTAGAAAAGTAGAAGGCCTAGAAAAAGTAATGTTGTTAACATGTGCAACAAAAAAGTAACTTATTCACAAAGAATACCATGCTAATGAGACAGGGTTAATGTCCCTATTTCAGCAAACATACATCACATACATATAACAGGTCTTTTCTTTTGTCGACATGGATAAAACTATGATTTTCCCTTTTTTTTTTCCTTGTCGCAAGTTTTTACCTCAAAAGCCGACTGTGCAGATTAGTGAGCAGATTTATTGCAAGTTTAAAACTCTACTGAATATATGGAATGTTCACTTCACATTGGCATTAATTCTTGGAAACACGCAGTACTAGTGTTTGTCAGGGTATGGAGCTCAGTAGCACACATGGGACTAGTACATCTACTTGCCATGGTGACTCATTGGCTGCGACATTCGGCGACAAGTTCCAAGGTTGCAGATGTTTCTGAGGGTTTCAATCATTCATAAAATGCGGGTCAACAAACTATAGCTGTGGTATTTTGGTTGCTATGTTTCGGCTCACGTTGGGCAAAGTATGAAAAGAGCCCTGGCACTGACGTGTTGTTGTTGTTGTTTTTTTTTTTTCTCCTGTTGTTTCTTCTAGGATGTCTTACTACGATGCTGAAATGGGAGGGCTTGGCAGCTCCTACGGTGGAGCATCCGCCTTCTCTGAAAAAGCCATTCGCCATGGTAAGTCTATACGTCTAAACTCTGGCTAACCAAACTTTCCTCTTGGAAACCTGCTGTTAAGAAAACTATCTTAGTGTTGCAATTGCTGTGTCAATTGTGGCAATTTGGTGCAATTCTTTGTTTTTCTTCCCAGCACAGCCAAAACTGTGAAATTTGTTGAAATTGCACCACAGTGCCAAAGTGCTTGGCCAATGTCAAGATTTTCTCATTTGTACTCACTTTAGCAAAAAATTGAGACCGTGTTGGCCTGCTGCAAATTAGGCATCATAAACCAATTCAGTCCAGACGTGCTGAAAATTGTAGGTGTGCCCTGTGTTTGGCACGAGAAAAACATTGTTTTGATGCTGTTTGCTATGCCACTCTACATAGACATCTGAAAATCAAAGCGGAAGCTGTGCGTGAAAAACAATAGCACCGTGCCGCTGGTATCCTTAGTGGGAAGACTGGCCATTTTTTCACCTACCAACTCTGCCGCTTTCGCCAGGAGACCTCCAAATTTCACTCATGCTGGCAGATTTCGCGGGTACTTCCATAAATCTCTTGATGAGCAGCCCTAAACTCATTTTAAAAGAAAGGATAACAGACAACGGTTTAAAAATTTTCTGCCCTTGTGCTTTCGCATGCAGATACTTTTTTAAACCACTTTAGCCACAGTACACTGTTGCCTTGTGAAAAGGCATGCTAATTCTTGGAAGGTAGCTGTCGCAGGACACTACAGATTTTGTTCAATATTTATTTGTGCACACGAACCGTACGATTATGAGTACTTCAATTATCACTGACTCCTAAAAGATTTACTGGCACTCATTCGGAGCTATGCATGACATTTTTGGGGTATTTAGAAGCAATAAACATAAATGTGTGCCAGTTTTCTTTTTTTCACCACTCCCACTCGCTGGTCTTTTCGAGTCTCTCAAACTGCGAGGGCACCAGGTTGGCACGTCAATGTTGAGGTTTGCAGCACCTGTCAAATGATTTGATGGGCGTTACAAATTCTAATGCTGCCGTTGCTCTCACTGTCGCAACATATTCAACGCAATGTGCTGAAAATAACTAAGAGCAGTTATTTCTTTGTTGTTCGTGCTGGCTGTATTACGAATGCCGGAACAGATAGCTGATCATGGTGGTGATTTAAGCATGTGGGATGCTTCAACCAACTACTTTTATTAAAACAGCACAGGTCACCTCCACAGTGCACGAGTTATCTTCTGTTGAAGGGTTTCAACACATTTTTGTTTTCTTTTCTTAGAATTGGTCTACTTTGTTATGGTGCTCCAAATTTTGATTTTCATGCTTCAGAAGCAATATTTTTCTGCTAAAAAAACTGCTCCATATCCCACATGTGGTGTTGCACCCTTGTAGATAAGATAAAAAGTCTACTTTTAGACTTTAGAATATGTATATATAGTGTTTTGTTCATTTTTGTAGGAAGTTTAAAGACACTCAAGTTATTACAATGCTGCACACTGTAGATCCATTTTCTGTTCGAAAGCCTTGGAAATACCTTGAAGCAGTTATTTTTTGGTCGTTCGTGCCGGGTGTATTAAATATGCTGGATCTTTGATGTGGTGGGTCAGGCACCTGGTGAACTCACTTTCACATCCCAATGATGTTGAATACATCATGTCACATACTGTGTGAGCACAGCTAGATGCCTCATATTATCTTAACAATAAATATGTTACTTAAGTGTCTATGCCACCTAGTTCTATGCCTTACGTGTATGTAGTCTGCTGGAAAAAATATGTGTATTTTAAATTTTAGTAAAGCATTGCAATTACCCTAATAAAATTTCACTGTAATGCATTGTCAGTCTAGCCATGTTATGTCATGAAAATTAACATTCTCTGAAACGACATGTGTAAATTATTGACATGGCAACATTTTTCTTCACCAGTGCTGGTGGAAGCCAGTATGTTGAATTTCTTTAAAACATTTTAGGGCCTCAAGTAATGTATTTAATGTGATGTTTTTCTTGTTTGTCTGTTTCTATAAACTCATTATGGCCACCACATGTATGCATTATTTCAGTATTTTGCTTGCCAAGACTAAGTTAGCAAGTCTCTGAATTAGCATGAAAGGCACCCTAAACGATTCTAACATCCAAATTCAGTTCTGGTTTGCTGTTGTGCATGAGTCTCCAATAAACATGTAGCCACAAGAATTTTTCAAAGGTGAACCGTGATAGTGGAATTATGTGCATTAATTATTATAGCATGGCCCTTGCATGATTTGCTCTTTCTTTAGCTACCGCACTCTCTATTCATTGGTCTGTATCTACCCTTTGCAAAGCACAACAAAGAGTAGAAAGCACATTTATCTGTTAGAAAGCAAATAGGTTCTTGCTTGACCAGTCAACATCTGCTCCTGGTGAGATCACCAGATTCACCCTGGTTATGTCATGTCAAGCGCTGGAGATACCGGATAGTCCCAGAGACGAGCATGAGATTGTTTCTTTATTTTGTCCCATGCGCATTGGGACAGCATTCTGAACTTGATGCACATGTTTACTTAAAATGTTAAAAAGAAAATATTGAAAGGGGGGTAAGGAGGTTATATGTTCGTGAGAAACAAAAATTTTTGTTTTCAATTCTTTTGCCGTGTAAGCCCTAGCACTGCACATGTAAAGGGTAAAGCTCCTTAAGGTTGAGGCTTGTTTGTCGGTGACGTTGGCATGCGTCATAAGCATGGTGATGAGGATGATCACTGATAACGAGTGGCTTGATGACGTCTTGATATGCTCAACGATGCCTTTCGTATGACTGGAAAAAACAACAACCACCAGGGGAATGTGCACAGACCTCGTCTTTGCCAGCTTCTAGCTAGGTCCGATACCACAAAGCAGTAATAAGGAAGGCAAAACAAAATTCACTCTTCAATACGACATATCATTTATGACCAATAAGCCTTGTAAATAACTGTACACCGCTTTGTTACTACATGGAGGAGTGGTCAATGTCACGGGTAATTTACGATAACACTGAATGATCTCACTGCTTCACCCACGCATGACCATTCACTTCGTGGATATGCTGTGTTTTTTGTGCACAAAGGTCATATTATATCAATAATTGATGACATTTTCGTCTGTTTTTGCGAAAATGTTGAGGGCACTCAGTGTGTGTGACCAATCAAATTGTGTAACCGAGCTATTTCAGATGGAATCTGTCGAAATTGCTTTGTAAACATTTGTCTGTATCTAACGACTATTTTGTTTTTGCAGGGTTCATCCGCAAGGTGTATGGAATACTCATGGTACAGCTGGCCATCACAGCAGGATTTATCGCACTCTTCATATTTGAGTATGTACTACATCTGTGGTGGACAGTCGCTCCCTAAGCCCCTTTCCTGCACACCTATGGCTTCTTCTGGTTTAGTTTGTTACCATAGGTTGCTGCTGAAAGTGCATTGTTCAGATTTCAGACCATCCAGAAGGCATTTGTTTCATAATTACATTATGGATTCATGTTGCTCAAGCAATGGTCAAAGTTTTCCTTGACACTTCTTGCTAACATCAAGTCTACTTTTCATAGCTAGAGCTTATGATTATTCAAACATTAAAAGCTGGCAGCAAAATGTATTTTCATAAATGTGCCACTTAAGGGGTACTAGAAGACATGAGTTGGTTTGAAATGTAGGAGATATCTGTTCACACTTCACCTGCTTTTATATTGTACAATAATATAAGATCACTTTTTACATTTATTGCTTAATCCACAATTTACAGAATTTCAGAAATTTTTCTTTTTAAGACAGTGTTTTAGCAGGTAAACAAGGCTAAATGTCTAGGAGGTGACCTTACAGGGCACAGTAGGTTTTATTCAGCGCACACCTGTAAGAGTGCAGGGCATCCAGTGGTCATGACAAGATGAGGTAAAAGAAAAAGAAGCGAATTGCATTACATACGGTTGGGACATCGTGAAAGAGCACAGAATTGTGTCATAGGCAGAGCAAGGTTCGACAGTTCATAGCACACAATATCTAGAAAAACCAATTTATTTTTTAAATGTATAGCAGAATTAGCTAAGATATGATGTCACAACCACACCCTTTTTTTTTTTTCTGACATTTTGCCCATTTATCAGTACGGTGTGAAGAATTCCAATATGTATTTATATTCATTAACCTTTGTTGTATAGGACCTGTACATAAAGAGTTTCTAAATTCACTCACACCTTACTTTTGATCAATTGCTTTTAAAAATTGCTGGTAACGATGAGCAGGCACTGGTAAGATTTGCGACTTGTATAGCCATTGCAGGAACTATCCTATCTCCCAGATGTTTTTTCATTCGTTCCAGAGTTTTTCTTTAACTTTTTAATTTTCATAAGTGAACCATGTTGAAGTCCCATCTTTTTTCACTCCCAGGCCAAACGTACAGTTATACACTCGGCAGCACCCGGGACTCTACATATCTGCCATGTAAGTAGAACACTAGCATGCATCTGTTCTTGGTCATAACTCAGTCATTCACAAAACCTCAGTTACTCACACGGCCACTCTGTTGCAGGGTCATAACGTTTGTGCTCATGATTGTACTTGCCTGCTGCGAAAGTGTTCGTCGTGCGTTTCCTGTCAACTTGATTCTGCTCCTCTTGTTTGTGAGTATTTCGTGGCTCTATTGTCTAAATAATTTCCGTCGAATCTTGATATTCCTTTTCTTGTTCTTGTTAGGTCATGTAGATTTAAAATGTGACAAAGTGCTGCAGAGCAAAGCCCTAAATTGCACAGATACTTTGCAAGGAAGTTGAGGTATGGGTATCACTATGGGTTTCACTATGGGTATCTTTCGCCATATAAGCTTTCATGTTGAAGAAGAAAGCTTCGTTTATGCTTCTTCTTGTGACATGTGTGCATTGCATGGATCATGTCGCATACGTGGATCTCCCAGAGAGGTGTTATGATGGCAGTGACAATAAGCAAAACCACCACGCACAGCTTTTATTTTCAGAAGTAGTCTTTCTGCATGAAAACTACTTTTGTGTGCAATCTCTGCTGGTGTAATCGATGTGGTACTGTATCTTGCTTTATGTCATTTATTGATGAGGTTCTATTTCTATTTTGCTATGATTCTAATCAAGAAAGTCAGTCATCGAAAGTTATTATATAGTCCCATCTGCTTGTACACTTAGTTCATTTTTTCTTCTCTTTTTGCAGACTGTTTGTGAAGGTGTTTTGCTTGGCACAGTGTCAAGGTGAGTTTGTTGCTTGCTCTCATCAGCAGAAGTTTGCTGGCATGCACAGCTATAAATGTCACAATTATGACCTCACTCTTATGTGATTATCTGCATTGTCATTTACCACGTGATAAAGCATTTTTTCCAGAGAAGTTTTTTGCTTGGAACATTTGTCCCTGCTTTGAAGTTTGGTTTCACATTAGTGGAGTTTTCTCATAGAGATGTTAAGTCAGAAGCATGACCAGTATTAGCATTCTGGTGGATGTTATATCTGAACAATGATTTGAAGGTTTTGGCAATGTGTAATCTTAATTCACTGCGATGACATAATAGAAGACAACTTCCTGATGCAACTTCAATTTAAGCAAAGACTCTCAGGATTCTGGGGTAAGCTGGCAGCAAGTTCTGACTTTTCAGTACTAAACATATGTAATGAAAATTTATTGATTTGGTAAGCTTAATAGACAAATTAACATTGCTCTTGATTGCTCTTATTCTTTCAGTTTTTACGAAGTGAAAGAAGTGATGATAGCAGTTGGAATCTGCACTGTAAGTTGACCAGTATTTTTTGTTACGTTTTGAGCTTCTCCCGATTATTTTTTCTTTGATAATTTTCTACCACATTTTAATGCTTATTAGTGTTGACATTCTTTTAGAATTTGATTCCTGTTTTGTGCCGCACTGTTGCATGTTTAGCTTGTTTACTGCCAGAACTTCTTTGCTTGCAATCTATACTAGCTTGCTGACCTCGTAAAATGCTTCACATTCAAGACCTGTTTTATTTTGATCATAAATTGCTTTTTATGTTATACTAATGGCATTTGTTTGATGGGACAATTCTTATAGAGACGTGATTTTTTTTTTTTTACTTGAATAGGTTGTATGCCTCGGACTGACCCTGTTCGCTTTCCAAACAAAGGTATGTGTCCGACATTTAAGAGCAAGTCTATCTTGCTTCTTGCGTGCCAACATTATTGTCTGACATCTCATGTGACACTTATTTTCTTTCAGTGGGACTTCACTGCGATGTCTGGCATCCTGTTCGTGTGCGCCTTGGTCTTCATGTGCTTCGGCTTCGCCCTGATCTTCATCAAAGGAGATGTGAGGGCTAAGTCACTGCTTCGCAAAACTAGATGCTTTTGTCTTTTTAGCTGTTTGCCGACTCAGGTGTTTATTTTCTTTCTGCAGATTGTGCGCCTGGTTTATGCATGCATCGGAGCACTCCTCTTCTCTGTGGTGAGTTCAGATAGATGGAAAAAGAAAGTAGTGTTTCTGACAATGAATTTGGGATTCTGTTGTGTACAGACAACTCCAACCTGCTATTCTAGTTACGACTTAGGACACTTGAATGTACTTAAACAAGCGAACCTTATTCAGCAGCTGTTACCACCTTAGATGTGCAGTGTAACACATTGTTTAACTCAGTGTACTTAAACAAGAGAACCTTATTCAGCTGCTGTGACCACCTCAGATGTGCAGTGTAACACATTTCTTGACTCAGTCGCACTTGAGGGTCTCTTGTGTAACATTGGTGCAGAATCGTTGTAATTGTTCTTGTGGTTAGGGATATATGCTATTGGATTATATTTTTCCTCTAGGGTATTGTTTGGGCATGCCTTGCTACAAATGTACATTAGAAGAGAACTTGCATAAAGGTTAATTTTTGGGGGGTGGGGGGGGGGAATTCTTTATTTGGCCTACATCTTAGAGGTACAGTCTGGCCGGCACACAGGATATACTTTATAGGTCACATATCAATATTGCTGAAAATACAGGGACTTGAACATGACTAAGTAGTGTCACATAGCCTGTGTGCCAAACTGTTTTTGTAGTTAGGGCAAATAGTTAGCATTTATTAGGGTGTGTGTCCATGCTTCTTTAAAAAAAGTTGCACAAAGGCAAGCCACTATAGGGGTGGTGCACGCTAAGAAAACACTATTTATGTGGTATTGGATACTCAGTATGTATTTAATTTTACTGCCTATTGTCTAACTTTCTTATTTTCTGCCCCACCAAACACCCCACGACCCCTTTTGTGCCCATTTTTCTTTGTGACCACTCCCTCAGTACCTAGTGTTTGACACTCAGCTGATGCTTGGTGGCAACCACAAGTACTCTGTATCGCCAGAGGAGTACATCTTTGCTTCGCTGAGTCTCTACGTGGACATCATCAACCTGTTCCTCATGATCCTGCAGATCGTTGGTTACGCCAACAGAGACTGAACATGCGGTTAGTTTTCTTCCTCACTGCCTGGCCCTCTTCGCTTTCCTTCTTTGCTGGCATCACACACTCTTCATTCCAATGATGGTTGCATTGCGTCGACTCTATTCACCTTGAGGAGTGGTTGCTTGAGCTCTTTTGCATTTTTTTTTATCACGGGTTGGTACTACTGTGGAGAAGCAAAGCTGCCTTTGTTATTGTTCTGCTAAAAGCCCGTTTTTCGTCTTTTGTTGCCATCTGCTTGTCTTCTTTCGAATTCTCTGAATTCTTTCGAACTCTTTTGCCCTTCTTTTCGGCTTTTCTTCTATAAATTCACATTGTCCTGCATGTTCTTCTTATTGCAAATCAGCTGCTATCATTTTTACCTTGACTTACCTTCTGCTGTATATGTAGTAATGGTATCTCTTCACTTATTTTTTCTCCCTTCCTTCTTGCAAATCTGGGCTACTGAGCATGAGCCTTATCTTCCTGTTTTTATTACTCACAATCGTTCACATATGTGAGCTTAATGTCAGTACTGCATTTCACTTGTTGCCATAAAATGCTTAGTGAAATAATTTTATGTTCTTACACGAACAATGGGCTGAAACTGGATATGGTGGGGCTTGATAAGTCAATCGATGAAATGTCTACGACTTGAAGGTACAGCTTTATCTCGGCATTGGCATAACACATTTCAGTGCGTTTTATTTGCTTTCAAACATAATGCAAGGGTCGCCAACCTCTCCTCGTCAAATATGTTGGTGCTTGGGGGCAGGGAAGTCCATGCCTTGTGCAAAAAATGCGACTTGTCATTCAATCAATGGCAAATATTTTGCGAGAAACTTCGGAATAGGCTTGTATTGGAATATGGTTCATTTGGTTTGGCACTAAGTTTTTTCCATTGTTACTTATCTTAGAGGCTGTGCAGTAGACGGGCAAGGTGTCGTCAAACTAGGAGGGAGTTGCTCATAGTAGCCGCTGTAATCAAACATGTGAGGCATGAGAATATGGTGAGAAAAAGACGTTATTGTCGAACATACCCAGCAGTTCTAAATTGGCCTGTCGCAATAGTATGGTGGATATGGTGCATGACTGCTGACCCTGAGGTCGTGGGATCTAATTCTGTCTGGAGCGGCCACATTACCGGTGGTGGCGTAAATGCCTCAGGCCCATCTACTCGCAATAAGGTGCGCATTAAGGAACCCCAGCTGGTTGAGATTTCTGGAGCCCTCCACTATTCCATCCCTCATAACGGTGTAATGGCTCTTCCACAATTAATTATTTTACTCTTGATTACCTGCACTAGCACTGTCATCCTCACGAGTTCATATGTTAAGGATGTGTAATTTTTATTGTAAGTCTCGTGAAAAGAAGCTATCTTCAACAGTATGTGTTGGGAGAGTAACATTTGCTTGCATTTGTTCCAGTGAAGGGAAGCTAGTAAAGCCTCAAAACATAACCCAGCAACAAAACTGTTGCAAAAGATACAGATTTGTGAACTCATTCTCTCAATGTTCTGGTTTTAATTTTGTTTTGTGCTTTTCTACACAGTACCTCATCTTCGACACGCAGCTTTTGGTTGGCGGGCGGCACAAGTTTGCCATCACACCCGAAGAATACATCTTTGCAGCCCTGACACTCTACGTGGACGTCATCATGCTCTTCCTCTACATCCTGGAAATTGTGAGCCGTGCCAGCGGCGACAGGCGTGGTTCGTCGAGCTACGTCTGACATTTTTTTCGTTGGCTCCTGCCTTGCGGGCTTTCTCCTTTACATTCCCATGCTGAGCGAGTGGCTGTCACCGTTTATGGTATGATGCTGCACACACCGATGCCCTTCCTTTACAGACTTGTCGTGAAAAAATACTGTTTGTGTTTCTTTTTCATTTTTCGTGTCTTTCAAGCTATAAAGCACCTTGCATCTTTGTCCTGCTACCCATGCAATTGTGTACAGGTGGCTTGATGTACAGAGCAGAGGTTCAGTGTTTAATGTTACCATCAGTCAATCTTGCGAGCAATGTGCTAGCGTTTGCTTGGATCATTATAAAGCCAGTGTTTGAAAGCTGAACTTATTGATGGTGTTATAGTAAAGCAAATGTCAACATGAGACTAACTGGCCCTACTCTCGCCATGTGCATGCATCAAATCAAAAACCAGCAAGCTGTATTTATTTGTTTTGGCTAATTTACCTCTTGTTTTGTAGCACATTTTATTATCGATTGCAGCTAATTGTGGTAGGCCCACCTAGTCGGAACAGTAAAAAAAAAAATGCTGACCTCTTTTTTTTATAGGTTTTTAGGCAATTGTTTCGGAAAGTACCGGCATTTTGTATTGTTGGTCTAGTGGTCTTATCAACTGTTTCGTTGTAACTGTATGTGCATAGCTTTATTTTTTTTATGCATGGCTTATTATTTATAATAATGGCAGGGTTGATATTTCCTCGTTTTTAGACTGCATGAGTTTAGATTACAAGTACCAAGTTTGCTTGAAATTCTTCTGAACATTCAGTTCCTGATGATCTCGGGTATGTACAGTGTGATAGCTTAATAAAGCAAGCTTGTAATAATATGAGCTTGCAGGCTGTGGAGGGGCTCATAGTTTCTTTATCGGAATGGAACTCCATGAAGAGACAGTAATTCTTTGTTTTGCATATCATGCTTACTTTCAGGTGTTAGGTTATATCATAGCAGTCTCTGAACAACAGTGTAAATATTAATGCCCCTGTATAACAGATAATAGTGCACAGTACAATGTTTTAGTATAAAAAAGGGACACTACTTGGGATTGGGTCATAATCTTAGACAACATCTTGGGAATGCATGTGAAAGAGGAATGGCAGTGCCATTGTGAATTCCCATGCTCACACTCATTCTTTAAAGATACGGAACATTTGACTGCTCATAAGTGGTCTACATTTCAGTTGAAAATAACATAAGCATGAGCCTTGACAAATTGTATACAGCCAAAATTTTTCTTCACCCTTAGAATGGGTACAAAATTGCGTTTGGCTCCTTGTGATACCATAGACTTCGAGAGTATCCAATTGTATCTTGTTGATGATCAATCATACAACGATAAGTTATGTTTGAGAGTGTTCTCAAGTGAACATTTTCATTAAGAGGGCTTGCAAAGAAAGATATGCCTCCATATGACCATGATGTTGCAATCATTTTGTCAGGGTAACTGCTTTGGTAGGAACTTAAGGAAAGAAGTGTGGCTTTAAATTTTATTATTTACAATTTTTTCGCTGCCAAAAAATTCTGGAGTTCCTTATGATTAGTCATTTGTCTGAATGGCTTAGCTTATTCTTTTTACTGTTTCTTTAATTTTAGTGTCATGGTACGCAATGTGTTGTACTAGTAATAAACATCAGAAAGTCAGTTTGCTAACTAGAGGATATTTTCTGAATCTAAAGAGGTACTCTACTTTGGTCTGCACCACAGGTTGTAGACCTTGGAATTGGTCTGTATCTGCCATTGGCTCTTTGTGCTATACCCGTCATGTATATCGATCAAACAGAACAGTTCTGTGGAGTGTTTTAGCAAAGGTGCAGCCCGCTACTCGTCTCTTACTGTGTAGAAAGATGTTTTTACTGTAAATTTATTGTTTTTCTTTAACATCTAGCAGCATTCAGTAAAACTTCAGAATCCTATAGAATTTAATTTTTATACAAGGTGCTTTCTGTGACACCAGGGCAGCAATAAGCACAACTTTGCAACTTTTTATTGTTCATGGAAACCCGAGAGCCTTAATCTGCATAGCAAATGTATTCTCTATTTAAATAATTGGCCTCTCAGCTTTATTTAGAAGTCGGCCATTTGATTATGAGGCTCTGTACATTCCTCCGAGTGTTTCTTTTTTTCTCACAATTAGACACTCTTTGGCATGTAATGCCCATGTTTCTCTAACGGCAGCAACTGTAAGTGGCCCAGAGAGGTGCTTTCTTTTTCTTTTCTAGTTCGCATTTTCTGATTCGCAGTAAGGCGAGTGACGGTTTTCTGACGCTAATCGTCTAGTCACCCCTATATATACCTGGTCGCCTTGTATAACATAATAATATTAGAGGTGCCACAAGATGAATGTCTAACAGATATATGTGAATAATGCATTTCTTCTGTGCTGCTACTGAAAATGAGCTCCTAGCTTCCTGTTGCAAGAGGCTGAACATAACTGGGCTGTGCCTTAAGCAACAGGAAATATGCATAGCACGTGAAATCTTGTGCATGTCCACTACTTACTTGGTGCTTGTGTTCTCTCGTGACAAGCGTCAGACAAGCAGCTGTGTGATATAGCCAGGTTGCTTTGCTCTATCCAATGCGGAGCTTCTGTGTAGGTCAATCTAGCCCAGACGATGTTCTTTTTAACTTTAGAGTCCCATGTTCATATTCTGTACATAACTTTTTTTTATGGATAAAATGTATATGCACCTCTTTGTGTTGACAGCTGGTAGATCAATGTAGTCACCTTCATCCAACTGTTGTGGTCGCAGCTCCAATTTACACAGTTGTAGCTCAGTCGGTGTATTGTGTGGCTGGCAAATAAAGATTCTACATGAACTGTTTATGATGATGTGCTCATTTTCATTCGTGCCACAATGCTGGGTGTTGCCTAGTTGATCCCCATCTGCATATTACTATTTTCGCTACTGATACTCACCTGCATACATTGTCTATGTATCTGGCCAACGGAGTGCTACTCATATGCCTGAATTCGCTGACTGCGAGTGCAGGTGTTGGTGAAAATGAGACGTGTTAGCCTCACTTTTTCGCATTCGCCCAGCTGGTAGTGCGCAAGCTAGGATTAAGGCTGGGTGTTGTACTGTGGCTCGGTGCACTGGTACATACAGAAAGGAGAGCAAGGGAGGAGGGCAACCTTTGAACCTGCTGGAGAGGAAAGACTAACTTCCATCCAGACAGTTGTATGTGCACTTCTAAATGGTTTTATTTAATAATACTACACTTATGCATACATGTGAGCATGCCTAAAACAAGTAGCGCACCCCGTAAGTTCGGGGCTCTTCATGTGTCTGCTGCTTCCAACTAAACATATGCTTGGAAAGCTACTATTCGAAGCTACTTCAGCACTTCCTCAACTGGGTGTAGTGTGCTATACCCCGCTCTGTGTATCCACTCTTTAACTGAGCCTAGTGACATCATCCATGTCTGTCTGTCAAAATACTTCGGCCATGTTTGAATTAAACATACATATCTACACAGAAATAGGTTTTACGCAATTCATTCAAATTAACTATGCTGAGCTAATCGAGGATGTCCTTTTTCGCACTCCAGGTAAGGTTGATAATGGCAACATGGCGTCGATGGTTTGCCTTAGCAATTGTGGAGAATGTGGTTTTGCCTCTGAAAGATAAAAGCAAACACAAGTTAGCCAAAAGGTTGACAGCAGGCTACGTTTGATACATACATTTGATGAAATAATACAAGCAGTACTTTTTATGTGCTACTGAGTGTTGCATGCTTTCAAAAAATGTAGCTTCTCGTTTTTTGAGTTTTTTTTGCATGCATGTGTTTTTCAGTGGGCCAAGGAAGCTTGACCAACAATATGCTGCAGTCTACAAAAACAATTCACGAGGTGTCATGCTGTTAGTAAAGATTGTAGCGTCACAAATCTAAATAAATATTTATTGTGTAACTAGCATAGTTCATCAGATTTCCGCAAGGGCTGGCAGAGAGGAAGTTTTGGGATTTTAGGGCGCACATGCATGACAAGCGCTCATCTGTAACCCTTCTGTAAGCACTTTTCTGTAACTTTACAGCCAGTTCCTTCGTATATCATAATAAAATGCGTTGCTGGGCGAGATGGTGCATGTTTTAAACATGAAAGGCAAGCGTAATAAAACAAGTAGACAGGATGGAATTGTCTATCCTGTCTACTTGTTTTGTGTGCCTCGTCCTGTTTTTTGTGCTCGACTTTTATGTTTAGACCTTCGTATATCTTTATTGCCCCGAACGTTTTGTAGTTACTGTATTATTACATGCGAAAAACTTCAAATCAAGATAGCTTTTTGCAATTTTGCATGAGGTTTTGCCATACATCTTGAAACTTGCAATTTTTCAACTTCAAGGGACGTAAAAAGGGCAATAAGCTCAAGGGTACAGGAAGTTTTGTTATCGTATGTTAGCTTGAGCCCAACTTAGGTCCAAATCAGAAGGTTCGCGGTCCAAAATTAATCAATTTATCACAATAATTAGTAGTATACAAAAGAGAATTTGAATGCCATGTTCATATTTATGTACACAGTTTGTTTTTGTCATTTGGGACCAGTGAGAAAGGCCACTGCTGTGGTTGAATGCAATGATGAATTGTAGAGTAAGCTTAGAGAAGATTCAAACCCTCGCTTTAGTAATTCGTTATGGCTCATACAGTTAACATGGTCTTACAAAGTTCCAGACTTCCATTACACGGCAGATGCCCATAGGGCTTTATGTGGTCGTCGTCCCGAATCACCGAATTTAACTTTGCACCAAATCCGGCTTAACGAAGCTTTTTCTTGGAACAGGTTAGTAAAAATTGCACATCATCTCCCCTACGGGCAATCGTGGTGGAATGTGAAATAATCTCGGGGAGGGGGGGGGGGGGATCGCATTGTTTGCGTTTCTGTTATTTGACTTTTTAAAAGGTGGTTATCGAGGCATTTTAATTACCCCTTGCCGAGCCTTTCTCTACTGCACGGCAGTAGCGCTGCTGCTGCAATTAGCGCCGACGTTGACGCTGTTCATGTTTTTTTTTTTTCGATATTGAAAAAAAAATCTTACCGAATTAAGTAATCGATTCTTGGCCGATCACCCTGAGTGGGTACGAGCCATGACTGTGGAATAATAATCATCATCATTTCGCACACCGTTTCACAGAGGGAGAATGACGGAATGATGGTGAACGCGTGTTTTCGCAGCTTCGGTATTCGCTTGCCGGCGTTGCCGTTTACGTTCAGCTTCGCGAGCGTACATAGCGCCGTTGCGAAGGAGAGGGCAAAAGGAGCGAGCGAGCGCCGCATTATATACGGGCGCACAGCTGTGGCGGAAAGAAAGAAACGGGAGAGAAGAAAAGCGGAGGAAGCGTTCACGCCTCTTCCACGCCACCTCCTCGTGCTCACGCGAGGAGAGGGGATCGCGCATGCGCAGCATGGGTGCAGACGCCGCAGAACGGACACTGCCCCGAGCATAAGGTGCTTTTGCATCTAAGAAAATCACAGCATATCCACGGAGTGAATAATGATGAGTGGGGCGAAGCGTCCGTCGGTTCATTCTTGCTTCCGTTCCTCCGTGCGACCGTCCGTCTGTCTGTCCGTCCGTGCGTCCGTCCATCTAGTGAACACTTCAAGTACCGCCATCTCGCACCTTTCCATCATATATTCATCATATACAAGTACCGCCATTCAGCGGACGTTTTAAGAACTACACGAGAGGTGGCTACCTACTACTGCTACTACTAATACTACTACTAATACTACTACTACTCATGCATCGGGGACGCACGACCCACGGCTTAAGAAGCTTCGCCGCTAAAACTGCGGTTCCTCTCTCTCTTTTTTTTTTTTTTTTTTGCACATAGACGGGTTTTCCTTCGAGCTTGCGCTGCAAATCTATTTCACGTGCGTTAAATCATTTAGCCGCACTAGTCGCGGCCCTCGTATTATTCTGGCGAGGCCACACGCTGCGCCTATGCGTGAAACAATGGTCCCAGCAGTCGGTAGCGTTCAAACGTATTGAATGGGACTAGGGGTGCTGTGATTTATTGTCTTTCTGTATGCCTTCAACGGAACGCTACTGGGCTCTCTTTGGTTTTGGTGGTTTATGCAAGATATGGTTCGTCTCGTCGCGAGTTCATTACTTACGCAATCACTGCCTTAGTACTTTCCGCCTTATCGGCTACCTGGTCTGAAAAGCACGCACACGGGGTCGTGGGAACATGTAGAGCCGCCACGCGGACCTTTTTCGATGAGGCGTGGGTTAGCGGAAAATAAGATACAGCGTTAGCTTTCGGGTGTCGCTATACGTTACAATTGTAGATATCGAAGGACTGGAAAGAATGACTTTCTCAATTTTACGAACTGCTCGAACTAACGAAACAATTCAAGCCTCGCTACTATTTCGTTAAATCAACTCACTGTGTAGACGTACACCCGCATAACTATTATGTGCTTCAATGTGAGCTTGCCCGACGTCTCAGAATCCCTAGTGTTATCTCCGTATACGTACCTTGATCGGTGCGACACAACAGCTCATGTTGCTGTGTTCCTTGTCCTCATGCCATCTTGTATCACCGATGTGACATTTCGCCTGACGGTGTCGAGGAAGCCGGTGAAGCGATCTGCGAACACCAACCGCAATGACGTGCCCATGTAAATGCGCGTATGTCACAATGCCCATTGTTCATATCGCGTTATCAAGAGCTTCTGCAGTGTTGTATTGCTCATCGGCAAAATCGTGCGAAGGATTGGCACCGTGAGGACGAAATATAATGAATGCTCAGTGCAGCGGAGCTTGGACGACAGTGACAGCGAAGAGAGTGAGAGGATGAACTAACCCTTTTTGAAGGACGGCTCTCTGGATGACGCCATAATACCGTTTGGGCTGTGATAGATATGCCTGTCCGCCAGAAATGCGCTGCCAAGGCAGCACAGCCGGTGTGCGTCAGCCTTTGTACTTTCGACCGTACCACAGTGCAGAAAGGGAGGTGCTCCCGCTCTCCGTTGGAAACGCCACAGCGCTTAAGTTGGCATCGTCTGTGACAATGGGGCCAATCACAAGTCATACTAATATCGATTTCGTCTTTAAATGTGCGCGGGAGTCGGCCCTATATGTTACTGCGCGATGGTTAAACGACCTTTCCGTGGATTCGCGAATGGCTTACTCATGGCGCCGGAGATGTCGTCGGACATGCGGCCGATCACCATGTTGAAGGCCTGCTCCACGTTGCCGTCCAGCGTTTTGTTAAGAATCCCCTGCCAGAAGCGAGTGTCGATCAAGCCTCCGCCCGGCTGGTCCCGACGCTGGAGCGCACTCCGCGCACGAACATCGGCGACGAGCACCGATGACAGCAGTGTCAGCAGCAAAAGCAGTGCACAGGACTTTCCCTTCCCGTTGGAGACCATGGTCGACGATTCACTGAGCCTGCGCAGATGTAACAGCCCCTTTACGTTCATTATGACTGCTTTAGAATGTTACTTAGTTTCTGTAGAAACCATGGGTGTACATATCACGCACGTTTGCCCGCTTTGTCTCGGTTGCATCAAGAGAACGTATATTTATACGTCTAATTTATGTGCGCACCGTGAAATCGAACGTACACATTTTTGTTAATCGAGTTCCCGTATAACTACTTGGCCGTTAGCTTCCTTTTCGTTTACTTTCCGATGTCATACATTTGCCCTTTTAACAATAGTATCGACCAAAACGTCACCGTAATCTTGCGTCACGGTGATTTGATACGGAAATTTCGAAGCGCTGCATGTCGCTTCTTCAAATGTCCTTTCTGACATGCCTTATATCTGCTACGGACTGTACGTTTATTTTTTAAAGATTATTGTTTAGTGTATCTGAG